GTCCTCTCCATTGGCTGTTGAGCCCACCCTCTGAGCTTTTTATTTCAGTTATTGTATTTTTCAGTTCTTAAATTTCTGGTTCTTCTTTGCATCTTGAATTTCCTTGCTGAGGCTATTTTTATGTTTATTTTAAGCTGTTCATAATTGCTCATTGAAGCATTTTTATCATGGCTGCTTTAAAATCTTTGTCAGCTAATTCTAACATTTATGTCATCTTGATGTTGACATCTTTTGATTGCATTTTTTCATTCAGTTTGATATGGTTCTTGGTATGACACGGGATTTTCAGTTGAAACCTGAACATTTTCTTATTATGTTGTGAAACTCTGGATCTTGTTTAAACCTTCTGTTTAAACTTCTCTGACACTCAAATAAGACTTCTCTGACATTGCTCTGGAGGGGGGTGGGAGAGAAGAACGGCAGTGGGAAGGAGAAGCCAGATGGACATAGACATCCAAGTGGAGATAGAAGTCCAGGTGCCCCACTTGGCCTCCATTGATACCCAAGGTGGGAAGGCTCCTCATTATTGTTGGGCAGGGGTGAGGGTTCCAGCTCCCCATGTGGTCTCCACTGAGACCCCAGTCGAGGTGGCCTCATTACAGCTGGTTGATGTTGAAAGTCCTGACTACTCTACTAGGCCTCCTCCTCTGACACCCCTCTGCTTCCCTCTCTTCCAACCAAGAAAAAGGGGGGTTTTCATTACTGGCTGGCAGGGTTTAAAGCCTGGCTCCCTCTTTGGCCTTCTCTGATACCATCCTGGTGGGGGCATTACAGCCTCCAGAGGGTTGATTATATTAGTTTGGGAATAAAATATTTTAAAAAGCTGTATAGTGTGATCACACGTTTAAAAGAAAAAAGTAGTGTGTACATAGAAAATAAAAATCTAGAAGAATAACTAGTGAATGGTTCAAGGGTAGGGGAACTCTGACATTCTGTAGTGTTTCGGTTTTTATTTTAAAAAGAATAGAGGTAAAAGACCTATACTCAGAAAACTATAAAACACTTATGAAAGACATTGAAGACAACAGAAACAGATGGAAAGATATGCCATGTTCTTGGACTGGAAGAATTAATATTGTTAAAATGACCATAACACCCAAGGCAATCTACAGATCAGTGCAATCCCTATCCAAATACCAATGGCATTTTCCACAGAACTAGAACAAATAATTTAAAAAATTGTATGAAAACACAAAAGACCCCAAGTAGCCAAAACAATCTTGGAGAGAAGAACAGAGGGGGAGAAATCATGCTCCCTGACCTCAGACTATACTGCAAAGCTATAATAATCAAAACCGTATGGTATTGGCACAAAGACAAACTTATAGTTCAATGGAACAGGATAGAAATCCCAGAAATAAACCCATGCACCTATGGTCAATTAATCTACGACAAAAGAGACAAGAATATACGATGGAGAAAAGACAGTCTCTTCAATAAATAGTGTTGGGAAAACTGGAGCCACATGTAAAAGAATGAAATTAGAATATTCTCTAATACCGTATACAAAAATAAACTCAAATTGATTAAAAACCTAAATGTAAGACCAGATACTATAAAACTCCTAGAGGAAAACATAGATAAGTGAGGTTTTAAAGTTTTACCTTTAGCATGGATTCTATCTAAATTAGCTGTCTAAATTTATAAAATGGCTTCCTTTGATATAGATTAACTTAAAAGTCACATAGAACACTCTTTGACATAAATTGCAGCAATATTTGTTTGGATCCGTCTACTAAAGCAAAGGAAACAAAAGCAAAATAAACAAACGGGACCTAATGAAACTTAAAAACTTTTGCACAGTGAAGGAAACCAATGCCAAAATGAAAACACAACCTATTGAATGGAAGAAGACATTTGCAAATGATATGACCGATAAGGGGTTAATATCCATTAATATACAAAATATATAACCAGCTCATACAACTCAACATTAAAAAACAATCAGATTAAAAAATGGGCTGAAGAACTGAATAGACATTTTTCCAAAGAGGAAATGCAGATGGCCAATAGGCACATGAAAAGATGTTTAACATCACTAATAATCAGGGAAATGCAAATGACAACCACAATGAGATATCACCTTACACCGGTCAGAATGGCGATCATCAAAAAGAATGCAAATTGCAGATGTTGGCAAGGATGTGGAGAAAAGGGAACCCTTGGACACTATTGGTGGGAATGTAAATTGGTGCAGTCACTGTGGAAAGCAGTATGGAAGTTTCCCCAAAAACTAAAAATTGGACTGCTATATGAGCCAGGAGTCCCATTCCTGGATGTATATCTGAAAAAGCACAAAAACACTAATTCAAAAAGATACATGCACCTTAATGTTCATAGCAGCATTATTTACAATTGTGATGGTATGGAAATAACCTAAGTGCCCATCAACAGATGAATGGATAAAGAAGATGTGATGTATGTATACAATGGAATACTACTGAGCCATAAAAAAGAATGAAATTTTGCCATTTGCAGCAACATGGATGGACTTGGAGGGCATTATGCTAAGTGAAATAAGTCAGACAGAGAAAGACAAATACTGTATGATATCATATGTGGAATCTAAAAAATGCAACAAACTAGTGAATAAAACAGAAGAAGCAGACTCATAGATATAGAGCACGAACTAGTGGTTACTAGTGGTGGGGGGGAAGGGGCAACAGAGCGGTAGGAGTAAAAAAGAGTTATTTTGGGATTATATGAAATCATGTGTGTGAAATTTTTGAAAATTTTAAAGCAGTATAGAATTTAAAGAATTTCATTTAATAAAAAAAATTTTAAATGAGTGTATATGTTACTGTTAGAAGCAGTAAAAAAAAGGCGTAGTTTTTTTAGATGCTATGTGTTCATTTTTAACATTAATAAAAACTGGATGCAGAATAAGGTACCCTGATTCCCAGTGTAGTATGCTTTCCATTATACCATAATATCCTCCTCACCTCCTCAGTCAGTTGTACCAATAGGTTGTATTTATTGTAATTCATACTGAAGAGAGTAATTTTGATTCTTTAACTTTGTTGAAATGGAATTTTATTAGTACAACTTGGATTAAAGGAGGGAGTTTTTGATTTATGACTATTGGACATCCGAGTTTTTCCACAGTTTCACTCTACTTTATGAAAACATCATCTGGCTAGTAGCTGCCAATTTTCTAGTGCTGTTATGACTTTGGAAAAACTTAATCATGGCAGTACTTCTTATTTGAATTGTCATGAGTTTTAGGAGAGCAGTTAATACAAAGGCGTTTTCCAGATTTATCCTGAAGAGTGCACATGCAAAGTTATTTATTTATTTATTTATTTTTGGCTGCGTTGGGTCTTTGTTGCTGCACATGGGCTTTCTCTAGTTGTGGTGAGCAGGGGTTACTCTTCGGTGCAGTGTGCAGCCTTCTCATTTTGGTGGCTTCTCTTGTTGTGGAGCAGGGGCTCTAGGGCACGTGGGCTTCAGTAGTTGTGGCACGTGGGCTCAGTAGTTGTGGTGCATGGGCTTAGTTGCTCCGCAGCATATGGGATCTTCCTGGACCAGGGCTCGAACCTGTGTCCCCTGCATTGGCAGGCGGATTCCCAACCTCTGCGCCACCAGGGGAGTCCCCTGTATTATATTTAATCAGGTAACTGCTTTTATTTTTTTTAACTCCCCTCCATTTACCCACTAGTTTAGGAATTAATGACTTTACTAATGTAGCATTTTACTGAAATGCCTTCTGAAGTTTTTGAGACTTACTTCAGGATAATAAACAGTACTTCTACCAGCATCTTTGACTGACTTGTTGAAAGTTAGTTTCTGGCTCTATTCATAGACTTTATGGTGAAGAGGGCTGTGTTGGCTGCTAGTGAGTGTCAGAATGTTCTCTTCCAGCCTGCTTGCTCGCTCTTTCATTTTCCCCTCCCCCTTCCCTCCTTTTTAAACTTGGGGGGCATACTTGATGGAATTCAAGATTTGTCCCACTCTAATTTTTAGGAAAATTGTGTTATCGTAGAGCTCAGGGAAGTCAGCTGCTTCATTTATTAAGTATGATTACAAATAACTTATTATAAAGATATCTTTTGTTATTTTCTTGTTCCCTGAAGGAATGTGTAAACAAGGTATGGGATTTTTATAATGAATACTTTTTAAAAAAATATTTATTTATTTGTTTGGCTGCACTGTGTCTTAGTTGTGACATACGGGATATTTTAGTTGCAGCATGTGGGCTCTTAGTGCAGCGTACGGGATCTAGTTCCCTGACCAGGGATAGAAGCCAGGCCCTCTGCCTTGGGAGTGTGGAGTCTTAACCACTGGACCACCAGGGAAGTCCCATGAATAATTTTGCTTAATGTGGGGGAGGTCGGCAGTTATTTTACCCTTTGGAGAGAGGCACACGTTTCCCTTTTTATGTTGCCCTGTAAAGAATACTGTTTCATAGAACAAGAAATGACTTACGTTTCATAAAACCTATGATAGTCTTTGCCCTGACGCAAGGATATATGTACCCCCTAGGGATTGATTGGACCTGTGCTGTCCAATAAGGTTGCCATTAGCCACGTGTGGCTGTTTAAATATAAATTAATTAAAAGTAAATAAAATTCAGTTCATTTGAACTAGCCACATTTTAAGTACTCATTAGCCAGATATCACAAATAACTACTGTATTGGACAGTGATAATTCAGATACTTTCTATCATTGCAGATAGCTCTCTTGGACAGCGCTATATTAGACTGGCCATTTCTAAGAAAAAGAGGCGGGAATTCCCTGGTGGTCCAGTGGTTAGGACTCTGTGCTTTCACTTCGAGGGCCTGGGTTCAATCCCTGGTCAGGGAATTAAGATCCTGCAAGCTGTGCAGTGTGGCCAAAACAAAAAAAAAGAGAAAGAGGCAAATGAAAGACCTGAATTTCTTCCTTCCACAATGCAACTTTTCCTGTCTCCTAGTACCCTTGACTAAAATTCAGGAAAAGGTCTATTGTTTTGTGTATCATTACTTTGGCCTTGTTTTTTAATGTTTATTTCTGTTTCCAGGCTGGCAGTGATGGTGAAAGCATAGGAAACTGCCCCTTTTCCCAGAGGCTCTTCATGATTCTTTGGCTCAAAGGAGTTGTGTTTAGTGTCACAACTGTTGACCTGAAAAGGTAAGATTTGGGTATCAACTTGATGTTCTCAGTTTGATCCTCTCCTCATCCCTCACTTTGCTTGTATATGTTCTATAAAGAAATGTATTAAAGTTCAGCTGATTTATGGGCACATTTAACTTGTATAAGTATTATGGATAATTCACAATGTAAGTATATTGCTTGTGGCCTCTCAGTCTTTTTAGGAGCTTATTGTATGTTTACCTTATAATATCAAGAGCAGCACCAGGAGCTGTTTTAGGGTAGAAGCAGTGAAATCTTTGACTTTACAGATAAACATGTAACTATGCAGAACTTTCTAAGCAGACGACTTCTCAAATGTGCTCGTAGACACATGGCCTGTACAATCTGGATCTTTAAAACCAAGAGTGGGATTTTTGGAGGCTGATTACTGCTGTGGTCTTTTTCATTTCATCTACTTTTCAAAGCATAATAGGAGTTTTCTATAATATGATTTTAACCATATTTGATTAAATACAATTAAGAATAAGAGCAGTTATCTATGGCCCTGTGATTGTTCTTGCTAGGTGAAGGGTTGTTTCTGACTTTCTCTCTACAGACCAAAGTGGAGAGGGCTGAGAAGAGCCCTGAGAGCAGTAAGCTTTTTTTACTCAGTAACTTCTATTCTCCCTTAGCAAACAGGTCTGAGGTGAAGAACATTCATACTTAAAAAAAAAAAAAGATTTAAACCAAGGGTTGAGAACACTTTTACCAATAGAAAATCTGGGATTTGGCAGTGGAAATGTATTCCTCTTGACACAAATGCCACAAAGCAAAAAATGCTTTGCTACTTATTTTTTAAGCTTATTAGACATGTGCAGTGTCCAAGAAAAAATAATGACAGGCTATCACTGGATGGGGAGCAGAATTCATGAACATTCTCCTTCTGGGCATCACAATGTGAGAATTACCTGACAGCTGTAATCCCATTCCCTGTTCTAGGTTAGCATTCTCTGGGACCCCTGTCAGTTCCTTAAAATTTATTTTTTACTTCACTTAATTGAGATTTTGCAGACTTAAAATCTATTTATTGAAAATAAGCCATAAAGTCTTCCAGGAACCCCTTTGGTTATATATATGAATGTAGAAATAAGCCTCTGGGAATTGTAAGAACTACAGGCTCATTTGAAGACATACCTAGCTCATATTGGACAGAGCTATTGTAAGAATGAAATAATTTATATAGTTACCCTTCTATTACTGTTTTTTTCCTACATGCATTCACAAAGGGAGTTTCCCAATATAACTCCTAAAAATAGACCGTGCCGCCAAGAACACACCCTTAGTGTGTCTTAAAATACATGGATTTCTCCTATTCCATTTTTGGCTTGGAGCAAGTGAGTTGACTAACATGCTTTGAAAAAGCCTTCTTTGAACAGCTCAATACAGTGCTTGATTGTGGTGCACACCAGTAATAGAACCATAAACGATGGGAATCTGGTTCAGAAAAGGAAGTGAACTCATAACGGCTGTTTCTAAGTCATCTGTTTCACTTTTCGTTTACAAAGTTTTGATGGCATTATTCTTGGAAGTTGATTGATATTTGGGGATTTGTATATGTTTAGGAGTAATGTGCCCTACATGTAAAAAGTGACACATGGGAAGTAGGATGAAAGATTCAGGGCCTCCTAATTAGAAAATTTGCTACTCAAAGAAGACATGTGTTTATTTCCTAGAGCTTTGTGTAAAATCTACAGAGAACACTTAATACTGGAGCCTATATTCTTTAGCTTTCTTTAAAAGTCTTAGGTCTACAGTACATATAAAAAAATCCTTCTTAAGGTCAATTAAAAGTGTACAAGTAGTACATGATAATGAGTCCCCTTCATCCCTAACCTTGGTCATCAGGTTTCCCTTCACAGAGATAATTGCATTTAGGTTTGCTCTTTACCATCCTTCCAGACCTTTTCTATGAGTTTACATGCTTATATATATAGTCTTAAGTAAGATTTCAAAGAGAAGGTACCCCAAGAGAGTGAACGTTGGCTCAAAAAAAAAAACCAGTGTAAATAAAATAAAGTTGTCACAGAGGACTAAAACATGCTGTAGTAAAAAGTACCTTTCATAATATATTCTTAACTTTAAAACTTTAAATATGATTGTTTTTAGAAAGCTGTGGGGGAGAAAGATTTGGTGCCTACAGTGCTTATTTTCCTGCTTTTCCTGATAATTGCCTAATTTCTTGGTGAAATGTACTGATCCCAGAACAAACTGGCGGAGAGCAATAGAACTCCACTGAGAGCTTTTTAGAAGCCCACTCTCTGCTCTGAAAAAATTATTGTTAAATGACATTTCATCCATAAGAACACTGTGTAACACGTTCTCTTTGAAGCTCAGTCGGTGTTAGTGACTATTCTGGTGGTATTCATATGCCCCTGTGAGGCTTGGAACAACCTCCCATTGCTTCCTGCGAGTGCTGCCTTCATACTTTTGTGGGAGTAATTTCTAAACCTAATTTTTTGTTTATGCTGCAGTCGTATTACAGAACTTTCAGATTTAAAAAAAAATAGTTGCCAGGCTTTAGGAATTCAGGTTTATATCAACTGCCATTTTGAACAAAAGCTTCAGGTAAATATAAGTGAAAATATTAAAATATGGGACACATTTCAGGATGTTATCATGTGTCATCAAAAGGGGAGCAACCATGGCATAGCAGAAAGCGTTAGGGGTAGAGACCTGGTTCTGTGTGGAGAGAGCCCTGTCTCTGATTTCGCTGGGCAAGCTGTCTCATCTTCTTGGAGGTCAGTCACCTCATTTTTAATCTCAGTAAGAAAGAAGGGAAAAATAAACTAACATTTCTTCATTGTCTATTACGTGCTAAACACTGTTCAGGGTACTTTTTACTACTGTTATCAGACCATTTTCAGACCTATTATTGAATAGAATTTATTATTTTTATCACACTGGTGTTACAGGGCCTTTGTGGCTGACAGGTTCATGGCAGTGATCAAGATCTTTATTTGAAGACTTCCATTATCTTCATTATGCTCAGAAGTTCTTAAATCAGAGATCAGCATCATTAGAGCACAGATAAGCCTGAGAGGTAGGCTGGGGGAAGAGAAAGAAGGAAGCGTGAGAACAGTAATAAGAGAGAGAGACAGACACACATACATATACACACTGAGACATTGACTTGGATATAGCTGAGTGTGGCCATATAGTTGTTACGGTAAACTCTTCTGGTTTTGGGAAATGAGAGTGGAAATGATAACTTTAAGAAATAAGCTTTTTATTGTAAAAGCAGTGATATCTGCTATATTACCAGTGAATAAAATTCCTCCTCCATGATATTCTCTGAGAAAATAGATAAATTGGAGAAAACCACTTTAAAAGTCTGGGAAATACTTGTTTTCATTTTTCCCATTCCCACCTTAAACATTGAAACTGTCTCATCCTTTGTGGTGTCACCAGTTCCTTCTGCTTCAGAAGTCAGCATACCATTTGTAACATTGTATGAGTCAGACCCACAAGTAAATTGCCATGATCATGGCATAAGGTTTTGCATCATTATTATAATAGTTTAAACTTTAACAATTTTGTTATAGTTTAAAATGTTACAGCAGAACTATAAAACTGATAGTTCTGTATATCTTAAAAGGAGTGATAAACTCAGAACAAAATCTGATTTCCAAATAGATTCTTCAGGTAATTTGCTTTCATTATCATGTCTCTGTGGTTCTACCCTTCTGAAAATAGTCTTCAGCAAGTTGAGAGATCAGTTTGAGTTCCAGGTACATCTTCAGTACACAGCAGCATGAATAACACATACAGAGAGACTAAGTGGAGTGGAACAGGCCAGCCTTTTAGAGAAATCATTTCCTGCTGCTGGTCAGTCAGGGAAGTACAGACTCTGTTCTTCCCCTTTGTAAAGTTGACTTGAGCTACGTGAAGACCTTGTTAGAATGGTCCTACAATTCAAGATATGGGTCTCATGAATGCATTTTGAATCACATGTATACATACCCTGTGTGTGTGTGTGTGAGACAGAGAGAGATAGAGACAGAGACAGACATAATTTCACTGCCACTGCCACGTCTTTATGTTCTTTTTCAAGATAATTTCAAAGATGAAAAATCCTGTTGAGGCCACTAAGAGCTGAAATAGAAAAATGGATTGTTAGTGAAAGGTTTTCTAAACCTGTTGTCAGTATAAACTCTGCTTATAAACTATAAATAAAATCTGTTGAGCATTATAAAAGCTGAATTTGATACCTTTTCATGGGTGCTATTTTGTTCTAAAATGATTGCTCCACAAGTTGACATTAAAGTAGACAGAGATCAGCAGTATACCACATTTAATCACAATAAGTAAAATCCTTTAACTGGTTAAACGAACGGGACACACAGACAAAATACTTAGTAACTGGGATCTTGGTGTGTGTGGTTTGATGTTCACAATTCAGTCATTCAGTTAGTGACTTTAGTATTAGTCAGAATATAGCAAATCTAGTGAAGGATAATTAATAGGAGTAAAGTGATCTGAAACCAAAGATTTGTGTTGTTATCTTTTTTTGCTTATTTGCCATCTGGTGTCCAGCATTCTCTTGATTTGTATGAAATAATTCTATGCCTTGAAAATCAACACCTTTAAAGTTTTAAAAGGGAACTCAATTAACGTGTGAGTCTACATACTTCGTATTTTTTTCTCTCCATTTAGTGAGTCAACTGGTTACAGTAGGTCATTTTTAAGGACCAGCTCCAGTGTCCTGTGGCTGTGCTGTACTCATTTTATACCAAGCAGCTGGAACCGAGCCACCAGCCCGAGGGCCTCCAATTGTTTGTGCTGAATTAAATTTTAATTGCAATTAAGCCACTTAAGTTGCTTAAAGTATTAGCTCCTATAAGATGTCTCGTTTTCATTCCTGTCTTTCCCTTTCTTTCTGTATCTTATTTTAGTTTTTTCTTTTTTTTTTTAATGAGTATTCACCATCCAGTTTTTAAATTTTTTTAAAATTAAAAAAAAATTTTAAACATCTTCATTGGAGTATAGTTGCTTTACAA